CATATGCTATGCCTTCACATATCCACCACATAGCCCCAGGACACCTTGTTACTGTGTCCTCCCAGAGGAGATTAACTGTTAGCGTCCCAACAGGTCCCAATACACCTTGAGACACTCCTCAGATGGAGTCTTATCGGCCTCTGGTCATACCGAGGCACTCCCTCAGAGAGATTACTGCCTCTGGTCATACCTAGGCTTTTCTCTCATAGCTAATGGGATTAGAGGCTAAATGCGGGGGGGACGTGTTTATAGAATTCGGCTGTCAGGCAACAACAGACTGACTGCCTTCCAGCCCAGCTCTGCTGCCTGGCCTTGGGAAAGCTACTCAACCTCTGTGCCTCAGTTAAGGCAACTATAAAATGCAGTAAGGATAGCAGCTGCCTCATAGGGTTGTGTAAGGATTAAGTGAGTTAATAAGAGTATATCAGAACTGTGTCTGGAACTTGGGAAGTATTGATACATCTTAGCTGCTACTATTATTATTGTTACTCATAGCTGCCTCCTCCCTGACCTGGCCCATCACCCACAGGAAGCAGCCCATGGCCACTCTTCTCATCAGATTGTGCTGCTGCTTAAATGCATAAGCCTCATGTTTCTCATCTAAATGAAGTGAATAATCCCACACCTGCTTCACGGACTCACTGTGATGATTTAAAGAGCTAATAGGTATCCAAGTGCTTTTTAATGTTGTATATCACTGCAGAAGGTTATCATACCCCCACCATTGGAAGGACGGAGCAGGATGACAATAAGAGCTGCAATTTATGGGGCACCTAGCTCTGAGCACCTCATTTAGTACTCCCCTGCTGCGTAGCAGTCAGGGCCCTGGCAGGAAATAGAACCCAACCCAGAGCCTTCAAGAAACTTTAATGGAAGGGCTCTTTACAGGGATGCTGGCAGGGTGAAGGGGGTCAATGATTTGGCAATGGGACCAGCGATGGCAGGAAGTCATTGTGTCTCCCAAGGCTGAAAGGGCAAGGGGCAGATGCTGTGTGCCTACAGCTGCAGTCATGGCGGGACACAGCACAGCCAGATCAGGGGCCAAAGCAGGGCCAGGGCAGGGGAGGACCACCTCAACTTCTCTCCTCTAGGATATCCTGTGAGTAGGTACTGCCTAACAGAAAGCCAGCTGGCAAGAGGGCCCAGGGACGCGGGCCAAGAGGTCAGCCTCCCAGGCATAGCACTAGTCAGCGCAGGATGGATGGGGTGGGCAAGGGTGTGGATAAGGGGAGAGTAACAAGCACAGGGAGACAGGATTAGTCTCCACCACTACCACCTCCCATTTTGCAGATGAGAAGACTGAGGCCCAGGAACATGTAGTAACTTGCCCGCTGTCATGGGGCTGGTAAGGTGGAGCAGGGAGGAGAGAGCACGGCTCAGAGTCCACGGTCCCTGCCTGGCACCAGCTTCCCCGGGTGTTAGCAGGATTCAGGGGCGGCAGCACCCACGCCCTTCTGCCTCCCCTTTTTTCCTCGCATCCTGTCACTTGTCCCATCCTCTCACCTTCTCTCTGCCTCTGAGAAGGCTTTTGGCTCCCTTTCCTGTGTCTCCATGCTTCTCCACTTTCCCATTTTCTCGGTCTTCTTGTCTTCCTCTTTCAGTCTCTCCTATAGCGGCTTTCTGACTTGTTGTCCATCCCCCAGAGCTCAGATTCTCGGCAACCCTTCTCTAGATTGTGCCTCTGAGCCCCCCATCTCCGCCTCTACAGTCCCATCTCTGCCCCGAAACCGGTCCCTGCGTGCCCCGCCTCCTGTCGCCGCCTGTCCCTCCGCCCCTGCGGCAGGCTCGGTGGCAGGGCCGGGAGGGGGAGAGAGGGCTGGCGCGGCGCCGGGCCTGAGTCACACGCATGAGGCAGCGTGAGTCAGGCGCGGAGGGAAGTCCCTACGGAAGGGGCTTTCGGGGCCGCAATCGAATCGCGAGGAAAGAGAAAGTGTTCGGAAGGCTCCTTTGACACAGTGACCTTGTGTGAGCCCGGGCCGGACACACCCCCACACCCTACCCGCAGACAACAACATGAACATGAACACCCCAGGCCCACGGCGGCCGAGGACTCTCACGCCAGCTCCCAGGTGAGCGGCTGCCAGAGGGTGGGCGCACAGGGGCTCCTCGCTGGGTCTGGGTGGGGCCGGGCGGGGCTGGGCGAGGGACCTGCATCCAGTGTCCCAGCGGCTCTCCCAGTCTGTCCCTACACCTCCACAGGGCAATCCCTCGGCCAGCTTCCAAAGGCCTGGTGAGTGCCCCAGCCAGCATCGCTCACCGGCAGCCAGACCCTAGACCCATGTCCCCACACGGGGTGTCAAGAAGGGCTCCCTGGGGGTTGACCAGGTCACCTTGTGGAGCCCTGTGTACGGTGGTAGAAGGAGATGCTACAGGGATGAAAGATCCCCTCCCTGGGGCTCTCCCCGCAACCCTCTAAGACTGACCTGCAATCAGATTGTTGGATTCAGTTAAACAAATATTTATTGAACACCTCTAATAAAAACCAGTGCCAAGCTCCGAAAACCTGGAATATGATCGTGAACAAAACAAGACAGCGAACAAAATGTTCAACTCCTGCCCTCCAAGAGCAGACATGGCAGGGAGAGGGTTTACAATAAACAATAAATAATAAATAAGCGAATAATCTAGACCAGCACCATCCAATAGAAATAGAATGGAAATCACACATGTAATGTTAGATTTTTCTGGTAGCCATATTAAAGTGGTAAAAAGAAACAAAGGAAATTAACTTTAAAAATATATTTTATTTAGTCCAATATACCCAAATATTATCATTTCAACATGTAATCACTATATAAAAAATTAGCATTTTTACATTTTTTTGTATCAAGCCTTGGAAATCTAGTGAGGACTTTATGCTTCCAACACATCTCGATTCAGACTCACCACATTTCAAGTACTCAGTTGCCTCTGTGCATAGTAGTAACCTTAATGGGCAGGGTAGTCTAGATGTCAGATAAGGACTATGGAATAAAAAAAGTAGAGCAGGGTAAGTGGGTGGGGAGAGCCAGCTGAGGTGGGGCAGGACTCAGAAAAGTGAGATCCACAGATATTCCAAATCCCGGCTCTGCCACTGGCCTTGGCAAGTCACTTAACCTTGCTGAGCCCCAACTTCTTTATCTATGAAATGGGAACATGATTCTTCCTGTGTGGATTAGAGTAATGCACACTCATTAAATGTTCTTTTTGTCCCCACCCCCTCTAGCTGTCTGTAGCAGTGACCAGGGTACAGCCTCCCAATCTCAGAGTCATAACCCCTCTACCCCCAACACTTAATGGCCATCAATGATAGCCTAGCCCCCTATCCACCCTGAGACTGTCCATTTTTTATCCATTTCTACCCCAACAAGATACTTAAACTCTTTGGACCTCAGTTCACTGACTGTGTAATGGACACCTTGATCTCTTCAGAGAAAAGTATTTATTATAGACCTCTAGGGGACTAAGCCACCATCTTCAGCTAGACCCAGGCCAATGCCAAGGTGGGGGGCAAGCAGCAGGTGCCAACTTCACAGATCTGGGAAGGTGAATTCCCTCTTTGGGATCTAGAAAGATTTCTGCCCATGAAGGTCATCCTGCCCCCAAAGGCCCCTCCCACCAAGGGGAAAACTGCTAGAAACAAGGATGCATAGAAACTGTAGACAGAGCCCAGGGAGCAGGGGTGGAGGAGAGGGAGCCCCCAAGCCAAGGGTTAAGGTTCTGGATCGCCTTTACACACCCCACCTGCATGGCAGGTTAAGCCAGCAAGCCCAGAAGCTCAAGGGAAGGTCAGGATCAATAATCAGGCCCTCCGTGGGGCACTCCATTGAGTTCCAGCAAGGCTCCATCAAGGCTGGAAGTGGGGGGTGGGAGCAGGCCCAGAAGTCCCAGACAAAGGAGGCAGCAAGGTTTGGGTTTGGGATGCAGAACCACCCTCACCTCTCACCCCACCCCACCCACAAAGCCTGGGAACTGGCAGGGCACCCTAGACGGTGACCCAGAAACCTGACTGTCAGCAGCTCCTCCCTGGCACCGCCCACATGGAGCTCTACTGCTTCCCGCAGAAGTCCCTGGCAGGTGCCAGAGGGGAAGCCCCTGGGTTTTCTCTGCTCACCTGCTCACCCCTCTCTACTCCTAGGGACACACCCACACTCTCCAAGGCTGCCCAAATCCGAGTAGCTGTATTTCCCGCCATCCAGATCTCAGAGATAAGGTGGGGATGGGAGGGGCGTGTCCAAGCGTGGATTTCTCCTCACACTGACACTGCTCACCTCCCCCCGCCAGGGCCACTCAGGTATTCTAGCCAGAGGGCCAGCGACCCCCTAAGTGTCTTAAAGTAAGTAAAGAAAGAATTCTTTACTTAACAATTCACAGTGAGGACCAGGCCTTGGAGGAATACGACCCCCAAGAACTACGGGGCGGGGACAGGCCTGGAGGCTGGATGAGCAGGGAGCGCGGAGGTTTAAGCCAGGTTGGTGGGGAAAGGAGCCTGCTGGGCCCTCCCCGCCCCGCCGCCATCTCCTCCTAGCCAGATTCCAGACCAGCAGGCTCGCCCTGCTCCGCCCGCCTCCCTCCTCCTTCGCTCTCCCGCCAGTGGCAACCTCCCCTCCCCCACTCCACTCCTCTGCCCTCCCCCCCAGCCACCCACTTCCTCCGCCCCTCCCCCTGCCCCTTTCGCTCTCATTCATCCATCCATTCACCAAACTTTTGCTGAGCGCCAAAGCTCCCTTAAGCCCTGGTGCGAGGCTCGTGCGTGTAGTGAAGAATAAAACAAAGCCCTGGAGGATTCCGACCAATCCCGGGCCTGGTGTTGGCTCCTCCCCCACCCGAGCCCACCTCCTCTCAGCCAGGCCCCCGCCCTTCGACCTCCACCCTGCCCTCCTTTCCTTCTCCGGACTCTGGCCCAGTCCTGTGGTCCTGTGAGTTGGGCCCGTCGTCCGGTGTGCTTCTGGGAGCAGGCGAGCAGCACCCCTTTCTACCCTTTCCTGGTATGGAGCCCCCAGGGCCACACTCTCAACCCTAAGAAAAGTTCAGGGTGAGGGTACAGGGTGGCCTGGAGGAGACAGAGCACTGGGTGACCCCAAGACACATCTCCTCAATAGGAGCAGCATCCCCCACTGCGGAGTCAGAAGGGACCAGCCAGACTTGGAGTAGGAAGGAATCTCCGACAGCTAGTAATGGAAAACAGTCATTTTTGAAGGCCCCAGCTCACGGGCCTTCAAAATATGTCCCCTTTCCCAGCCCCGGACATATTCCCACTTGGAAAGCAGGCAAGGAATAGAGACGAAAAACAGAAGTCAAATACTGTGTGAGAATCTCCTGAAAACTTGGGGCCTCTTCCCAAACCAGTATGACGTGGGTGGGAGAAGGTGGCTAAAGCCACAGGACTTGAGTCCCTAAGCCCTACAGCTGGTTAATGAGCTGACATGGACATCCAACCCCAGTGGGCGTGTGGCCTGGGGAGACAAACCCAGCGCAAAGCTTCCAGCCAGACTGCAGAACACAGCCCAGCCTCCAGAGAACAGGTCACAGGCCCACAGTCGCTGCCCTAACCTTCCTCCCACCAGCTCACATGGATGGGGCTTCCACAGGCTGCACAAGTTTAAAGCACCTGTATTTTCAGCCTTTCTTGAGTGGGAGGGGGCAGCATGGTTGGGGGCATTTTACTTGCAGAGGCTGTTGCACTGGACATTGTCAGATAGACCAAAGGGAAATTATTTTGTTCCATGCAGAGCATAAATCTTACACTCGCCTGAAGTGCACTCTGGTGAGCTGCCACCACTACCGTTAGTCACCAAAGAGGAACCCATCCCGCCAAAGACCAAGATGGTTGTCAGCTCCTGATGACTAAACCTGAGACCAAAGAAGGGGGAGAATCCCAATGATTGTTGGCAAATTATGAAATCTAAAGGTAATGCCCACTAGAAATAAGTCTGTGTGCAGGAGATCAGGTGACGATGGCACAGCGATTTAAACCTGATGAGACAAAAACAAGTGTCTGTCAGATGCAAAAGTCCTGTCTCACTCAGGCTGGGCCACCGTCACTCCCAGGACCATCTGCTGAGTTCCTTGACCTTTTCTCTGCCTTGAAGTTTAGGGACAGATCCCCAATCCAACTCCCTGGGGCGTGGGCTTTGCTGATAACAGAAATCACTTTGGGTAATTATTCTTCATTCACCACATTTTCTGAGCTTGAATATTGTGCTAGGCCCTGGGGATACCCCAGTGAGCACAGGCACATAAAATTCCCTGCCCTGATGGTGTTGACCTTTCAGTGGGGGGATCCTGGACAGAAAACAGAATATATATCACTTTTATTGATAATAGTTCAATAGAAAAGTTAATTATAGGGTATGTTAGAAATTGACAAGTATTACAGGGGAGTGGGGAAGCATGGTAAAGTGGGTGAGACTTGCAGGGGGAGATACACAATTTTGAATAGTGTGGGCAGGTAATATTGAAAGCAGTGAGAAGGCAAGCCCTGAGGATATTTAGGTGAAGAGCATGTTAGGCAGAGGGAATGGCTAGTGCAAAGGCCCTGAGGTGAGCTCATGCCTGGCAGGTCTGGGCAACATCTGGGGAGGCTGGTGTGGCTGAAGCAGAGCAACAGATAGGAGATAAGATGGGGGTGTGGGGCAGGCTGCAGGGCCTTATGGGCCTTTGTGAGGACTTTGTTTTTACTCTGTAAAATGGGAGCCCTTGGAGGATTCTGAGCAGAGGAGGGACGCACCTTATGTTTTAAGTAGAAAGCGATTTAATACAGGGAATTAGGTGCTTACAAAATCATTGGAAGAACTAGAGGAGTTGGCTCTAGGCTGGACCTCCTGGAACAACACTACTGAACTGCCTGCCTATGCCCTGATCAGCGGGGTGGAATCAGGAGGCCCCGTCTGCAGCTGAGCTGTGATCAGGGGCAGGAGGCCCTTCTGCCACCATACCTGCCTCTTGACCCTCACAAAGCTGGTGACTAGACGCTGGGGTTGCTGCAGAAAAGCCTGTGCCTCTACAGCCCACAGACCAATATTTCTCTTTCCTTGTTTCCTCCCTCTAAATTTCACTCTTCCTTTGATGGGACCTAATTCACATCCAAACCTGTAGCTTTAAAGAAGTGTGGGGGGAACTGGCTGAGTGGCTCTTTGGTTAAGAGTTGGCTTGGGAACGTGAGCTCTGAGCAGCAGGGACGGGTTCGGATCCCACATGGGCCAGTGACACTACGCCCTTTACAGCTAAGATGGTGAACAACAGCTCAACCTGGAACTGGGCTGCTGTGAGTCGCCGGCAGCTGGCGTGAGCAGCTGTTCAATGACCAGCAACCAATCTGCCTCAGCTGGGAAGAGAGCAACATGGGCCAGTGAAGCGACGTCTTCCACAACTAGACTGAAGAACAAAAGGACAGCAACTTGTCTGTTCCCCTTTCCCAATTCCCCAAAGCTGTTCCTTCCCCCAATTCCCCAATAAAATCTTAAAAAAAAAAAAGTGTGGAGAATGGTGCTGAGTGCCAAGCCATGTGTCTGTCACAGCCCCAAGCCTCTCCCCATGTCAGATACCCTGCTCCCCCCTGCTCCCCACATGCTCTGCCCACACCCTGGGCTCCCCAAGTCCCCATCACAGTAGGTACCACACTGGTGAAACTGCCATGTATTTGTCTGTCTCTCCACCCCACCCAGAGTTAAGTCCTCGAGGACAGGGAATGTAGATACCTAGTTCAAGGCCATGTCCCCAGTGCCCATTTCAGTGCCTGGTGGGATCCATCTGGCCAGGCTGGGAGAAGGCAACAAGTTCACCCAGCCTGGGAGAAGCAGTGGAGGAGAAAGACGCAGAATCCCAAGCTAACCTCCCTGAGCCTCAGTTTTAACACCTGTAAAATGGGAGCATTGTTGACCTCGTAGGGGCTCTGAGGGCTCTGAGAGAGAATATGCATTTAGTAGGTGCTTATCAACTCCTCCTTTTCCCGCAGGTTTTGTCTGAGGTTGGAAAGGAGCTGGGTTTTCCTGGGTTCCAGCCCTGAAGAAGAATACTGATAAAGTTTATGGTGTCCTGGGGTCATGCAGGGCGGGTGGCTGGCTCAGGTCAGGGGAGAGAGAAGTGCTTGCCTTCTGGGCCTTCCTATTTATTGGAGAGTTTTTCCCTCGAAAGTTGGAAGGAAGAGGCCCTCCTCCCACTCTAGGCCTGCCAGGCTTCCTGGCAGCAGAGCTTGTGGTCAGCAGGGCCTCAAGGCCTGATCCTGCCAGATGACCAGATGTACTAGTAGCTGGGTGACTCTCCAGGAGAGCAGTCCAACACTATGTACCAGGGGGACCCTATATCTTGCTGCATGGGTCAGTCTTGGTTAATATGGTCCAGGGTCAATCTCTGTTGGTGTATGGCCATTGTCTGGTCATAACTACTACTAGTACCCCCTTTTACTCTTAAGTGTCTTGCTTGTCTGTAATAGCTGGGCGCACATATCCTATGATCCAGGAATTCCTCTCCTAGGTGTGTACCCTGCAGAAATGTGCACATCTACTCGCCGAGACGTATTCTAAAACATTCACAGCAGCACTATTTGTAATAGCTCCATACCGGAAACTATCCACATGCCCTTCAATGGAGTAGGTATATAAACTGTGGTACGTTCATACCATGTAACTATGCAGCAATGAGACTGAACTGCAGCCATGTGCAATAACATGGATGAATCGCGACATAATGTGAGCAAAGGAAACTAACTCAGGAGAGTACATACGTATGATTCCATCCGTACAATGCACACCACAAATGGTGAAAAACTAAAGGATGCTATTAGAAGTTGGGATGGTGGTTACATAAGGGGGGCTGGAAATGTTATGTTTCTTGAGCCGGGTGCTAGTGACGCAAGGGTGTTCCTTTTATGAAAATGTGTTGAGCTGAACACAGGATTTGTGCATTTTCTGTATGTACAATTTTCATCAGTAAAAGGTTTACTTTAAAAAGCATCCTGGTTTGGACAATACGTTAGTCCAGGGGTCTGCAAACTTTTGGCACGGAAGAGCCAATCCTGTCCCTCACAACAATTTAAAAATTATTCGAGAGCCATAAAACAAATGAAATCACCATTATGTGAATAATATCCTTTAAAAATTTTATAAATGAAACTATGATAGTTTTATTTTCATTTTCAATTTTACTTCAGAGCCACATGTACGTACCCAAAGAGCCGCATGTGGTTCGCGAGCCACAGTTTGCCAACCCTTGGGTTAGACAATTCCTATTCCTCTTCTCCCTGCCTCTTCCCATCTACTTTCCATGTTGGGCCAGACACAGAGAACATTGTTACACCTTATTCCCATGCCTTTCAGGAAACCTCTACTAACCTCTCTACTCTTCTAAGAGCTGAGACTGACTCAGAGCAAGAGGTACACTGATAAGCAAATACATGACTGGAGAGATGTCAGACATGAATCCCTGGGAAATGCTAAGAGACACCCCAACCTACACAATCTCTACATTTCCAAGCCATGACTGGGAGTTTGTCAGGCTCCTCCTACTCCACTTAGCAGGGCAGGGAAAGAACTAACACACATCAGGGAGAATTTCAACAGTGCAGGTAAAAGCTTAACCTTCAGCTGTCCTGAAAAATAAAGTTGACCCGAACTCCCTGTTTGTTGGGGTCATTGAAGTTCACTGGGCTGTCCTTATAGAAATTGTATAATTCAACTCTGACAGTAAGAAAATGCTTCCTATGGTGAAGACTAATTCTGATGTGACGGATTCCCCTGGGACCCCTCAGGCCTTGACCAACCCTGTTGATGTCCCAGGCCTAGAAGAGCCCCTCTTCCTGCCTGCTCCCCATGGCTCCCCACCTATCCAAATCCCATTCAGGCCTGTTCAAGCCCGTCTCCTCTAGGAGACTTCCCTGAATACCCAGAGGTCCCATCCTCTTTCTGGTGGCACCTACTAAGTCTGTCTTTAAGCACCTGACCCCCTGGTCTAAGTTTTTTTTTAAGAGCACAGGGAACTATACTGATTTTACTGATTGTACTAATGGACCAGTTCTTGGTATATAGTAGGCCCTCAGTAAGTAAGTAAGGAAGGAATGAATGAATGAATGAATGAATGCTTTCTGCCTCATGGCATCTTGGGGATCAAGTCACTTTAGCACTCTCTGGTGTGTTCCTAGTTCTGATTCCTCTAGACATGAAATTTTCTGGGGCAAGGACTACGTCTTATTAATTTTTTGTATCTCTACTACTCACCCTTCTGCTTAATAAATATTTATTGAAAGAGGAAAGAAAGGAAGTGATTTTGGGGGATTTGCAATCCAGAAAGCATGGAGGTGAGGGTCAGTGGGTGGAGTTATTTGGATTTCAAGGGTGTGGGTGATCCTGGAGAGGAACAAGCTAATGTATTTGCCTACAAATTTATTTATATCTGCTTCCTTCCAGAGAAGGATTGAGGTGGCTTACAAAAATACACGATACAAGGTAAAAAAACAAGTCAGTGAGGAAATCAGGACAAGGGGAAAATAAGAGTAGGAAAAATAAATCAAGTTAGCTAATGAGAAGTGGGCCAAAAAGTTGGCCAAGTTTTCCCACAGCCCACTGGAGGCAGAAGTCCCTCTCCCTTCCCCACCTGCGTTTCAGGGACGAGCACAGGCCACACAAGGGCAGGGATGTCCAGGAGGGGGCTGTAAGACCCCTTCCCATACCTCCCTGGCCATCAGCCCGAGGCCTGGCCTAGAAGCCTAGGGTGCCTTGGGGAGGGCTGTGTCTAGGGGTACCTGGCTCTGTGAGGGTTATCCCCGGCCCAGACGTGGGGGCCTGGGTTGCTGGCAGGGGCCTGTGACCTAAGAAGCTAGGGTAAGGGCTGAAGGGTCGTTCTTCACTCAACGCTGCGAAGGTCCTGGAGCTAGCAACTCAATGCCATTCAGCCAACTCTACTCTCGGCCTACTAAGCGCGCGCTCGGCACACAGGGTACAAAGATGGAGGGAGCAGCGCGCCTTCCACCCTGCCCAACCCCCACCCCGGGCTCCAGACAAAGGGGCAGGCCGCCCCTCCCCCAGCCTCTCCCTCTCGTTCCCCTTCACCCTCCTCTCCCCTCAGGCCGCCCTTCGGTGACTTCCTCTCCCCTCCAGGGGCAGCCTGGGGACTTATCAGGAACTGCATATTACCTGGGCGCGCCGGGGGTGGCCTCCCCGCCCACCCCAAGCCCAGGCCGGCCCCAGGCCCGCGCCTTCATCTTAGAACCCGCTCTATTGGCCCCCAGCGCCTCCCCGCCCCCACCCGGCCGAGCACGTGCTGCCCCGGGTGGGGGCTGGGCCCACTCCCGCCTCGGCTCCCCACCCCCACCGGAAACATTCCTGAAACATTCCTGAAACTAGGAGGCCCGGCCCCTCTGGTTCCCCACCCCGCCTCCACTCCGGGCTCAGAGTTTTCCTGGCGTCGCCCCTCCACCGCCGGTTCGCCCCCTGAGGAGGGGGCTGGGCCGGGGCCTCGGCTGGCCGGGGAGGAAGAAAAACGAGTCACAGCCGTGTCGCTGGACCGCATTGCAATTCCCTGCATCACGGGAGGTGTGGAAGGCCGCCTCAGGGACCAGGGGCGGGGAGGTGCGCCCCGGAAGGCCCCGGGCCTGGCCTGCAGGGCGCGTCTCTCATAGCACCCCTTTCTTTTCCCACCGCCCTCCCCGCCATCTTCCCACTTTGGCTTCCTTTTAGGTCGTGCAACAAGTCTTTGTTGAGCCAGGCGTGTGGCGGTTATGGCTTGCGTGGACTCAGTCCCTGCCCTCAAAGTGCTTCCAGGCGACTCGACCACTGGCTCACGCTTTATTTCTTACAAAGTCACAACGCGGGGTAGGGTGGGGGCACGGGTAGCAAGTGGGATGTGTGTCTCCAAACCATCCAGACCACCTAAAGGCACGAACCTTCCCTCAGGTTTACCTGCAACTAGCCAATCGCTTGTTTTGCTTGAAGGCTGCACCCTGATTACGGTTTACTCGCGGCCATTAATAAATTAAAACTCTGGATTTCACAAGTTTCACCTTTGAATTTCACAAGACCTGGATTTCACGTCAGCCACACACGGGTTGGCAATGAAATGTACATGCCGACACCTGTCCGCCCAGGGGAAATCTACCAGCCGCTTAACTGGGCTAAGGGGGCGGCGGGTAGGCCGCGGAATTCTCTAACCCGCGCGTTTCTCTCCACAACTCCCGCCCGCGCAGACCCCGTAGACGCCAACACCTCCCACATCTTTGCGCCTCGTGGGCGACAGGCCCACACACCCGTAGAGGTGACTGCTGGGGTCCCGGGTTT